TCAGTGATTTAAGTGGATATTTGATTCAATTTTGTTATGTTGATGGCCTCATAGAGAAACATAAAATAGAAAGAAGCAAGACACCCAAAAGAATAAAAGAAAACCCACACTTCATTGATTTGAATATGTTTTAAATTATAGGATAAAGTCACTAAGTCTTGATCCCTCGCCAAAAGATTAAGTAGATCCAGATGTCACGGGTATGAATCCAAATGTTTACATCACATCTAAGAAACAATCATTATTTAATCCTGCAAAGATATGGGGTGATACATCAGGTGGTCTAATATATCAAGGACAGAGAAAAAGGATTAGTTTTGTATACAAAGAAGGCAATGAAACAAATACCCACAGCTCTCTGGATTTATATGGACTCTTTGCAACTGCTTGTTTTAGCCCACTAGGGTGATTTTCCTATCACATACCATTTGCCCAGCATAAAAGTTTCTGATGAGGGTCTACAATCATTAGGTGGCAAACAATAATAAAAGGAAAATACCACTGGTCTTAATGCTAATACAATGCCTAACCTGACCCAAACTGCAAGATGACTTGAAAACATGTGGGTTTCCCTGCCCAGGTCCCTGAATTTTTCTCCAATATGGCTGCCATCTGTCTGTCAGATCTGTCATCCCAGTCATTGCCAAAGCCAATTTCAACGATCTGGCAAGTTTCTTTCTCTCTTGGATATTTCTGACTACCTATCTCTCTTTTCATCCAAAGCAGTACAGTTTTTCTGAGACTTTTGTCCAGGCAGAACAAAAGTCTCAGAAACTGTATTTTCCAAACCTAAAGTTAGAATATTGTTAATCAGAGACTATGACTCCACTTCGTGCACAGCAGGGCGTAGCATTTGCACTGTCTCAGGTATCTGGAATGGAGTGTGTTTAGCCTGAAGAACCAGCAATAGACAGCACATATCTTCCTAGCACTTTCAGGTCCTGATCGTTGTATCTTCAAGAGGTGGTTACACTTGAATTGACTGAGAATTTAAAAGGCACTTACAACTTAAAAAACCTGTACTATTGTTGTGTTTATCATTTTAATATTCAAATTGTTCATTTACATTTTTTAATCTACTTACATAAGCACAAAGATTTAGCCTTCTCAGCAGACATCACTATCTTTAGTTACTAGGAGCTATTGAGAACACTTGGGGTTTGGAGAATGAAGGAGTCAATGCCTGAATGGAAAGTGGGAACCAGGAGACAACGCCCATTTCCTGGTTTAGGGTTACTCATCAATCCCCTATCTGGTGTGGAATGGACTAGCACTGCTAGTCCAGTCTCTGGAAGAGCCTATGTCAGGGCTTAGACTCCCTATGAGAAGTGTTAGCTGAAGCTACACTGATCAGTGGGTACTTGATCTCCTCAGGAGCCACAGGATGTAGGGGGAGACAACACATGTGATTCCAAAGCCATGGCCCCCAAGAGCCATCAAGTGCAGCCCACCACTAAAACTACAGGGCTGTGTAAAGAATGACACTGCTGCACCATGACAGAGCCCGACCCACCATCAGTGGAGAAGGACAAGTACAGTTTGTTAAGGCTGGTGACTCCAGATAAAGACAACTCCAGACAGATAAAGGTCAAGTCTGTTTTGTGTCTAAAATTAAGCAATTAGTGTCCTCTGTAATCTCAATCAATGTGCTAGTGAGGCAAAATTTTCAAAGAATATATTTCTAAGAAAGTAGACTGTAGAAGTGTTTTTGGAACAGTTTGCTTTACTGTGCATTATCTTTTACCACTCCTGATAACATTAAGTACACAAACTTAATCATGCCTTCTTATTTGTCTCATCAACTAGCACTGTTAGAACTGGCGCTGCAGAAATAGAATGAGAATTTGGTATCTGAGAAAAGAAATCATGTAAGAGTTGGATAATGACAAATTTCTCCTCATTTGTTTGAAACTGCTCCCTCACCTCTCCTACTACCCACCTGCAGGTATACATGTCATGGATTCAAGGAGCAGGCATTCTCTGAACTTGAGATGTGAGAAAAATAAAAGCGATTCCTCCTAAGCAGGAGAAATACTTCCAGGAGGCAATTGCTCATTCCAGAGCTGGCTGTCAGAGGGCATGATTAGCTGCCAACCTTCCCACTCAGTGGGACAGGAACGTGAAATAGGAGGAAGACGGGGCGGCTGTTATTTTGCTCCTTGGAGAATGAGGTATAAGACTGCTGGGGTCTATTTGGTGGGAGTGGGTTGACTTGTCAGGAGTGGCACAGGAAAGGAAGAAGACTAAGGCCTCAGTGCCATTTTCTTTTTTTCTTTTTTTTTTGGGGGGGGGGAGAGATTTTCACTATAGGGCGTGTTTGCTCGCCAGACAGACAGAGAGAGACATAGAGACAGAAAGTGAGAAATCACCCCCCGGGGGGATGGTCACACCGCAATCCCTTCTCTTCCATTCTCCTCTTGGGATCTTGGCCATGCACGCACACGCACCCGGCGTGAGTTTTAAGCCACTGGGTCCGGGACGCGAACTGCAGTCAACTACGTAGGAGTCCAGCAACATAGCCATTAAGCTAACTGCTGGTTCCCATTGCCATTTTCATGCACGTCCTCAGTCGGACACCCCCAGAGATTGCTCTCTGAGGAGTGACCACTGCCAGGAATTATCATGCCTTTTTATTGAAAATGTGATACATGCAAGTAAATGGGTGAGCGGCTATGTGTTCTAATTGTCAGCTCATAAAGTTTTAACAATAGAGAACATGGGTTCCATTCAGGGTTGGATTAAGGGTGGGTCTAGTGCAGTTCCACAATTGTTTATTTGATGTAGGTAGGTCTCCATGGAATGCAGTTTTGGGAAAGCGGTTCCAGCAAGCAGAGATAATTATCAGCTAATGCAGCAGCAGCCATCTTGTGATTACTGAACACAATGCTGAGAAAAGAAAATCCCAAGTATAGATATTAGTTCTTATGGATTTTAATAAAAAATGATACTTATGTAGTTTTATAAGGATCTAAAATTTAATTTAAGAAATCCTAATATATTTATCTATTTCACTTGGTGAGGGCAGGGGTGTCCTGGGCCAATTTTGGCCTAACTAATCCTATTTTATGTAAAGAAAAACTTATCTTTTAAGTTCATGTTAAATGTATCTTGAAGGGCCATCCAAAGGTCAAGATTATTTCTGGCTAAATAGAACTTCAGCCCACCTTCTATTGTGACCATTGAGATAAAGCATTGTAATTGACAGTAGGTAATCAGCGCCAAGGGGAGTAGTCGGGGGACTTTTGGGAAAATCTCATCACATACTCAAGAGAGCTTTGTAATTTTTTATAGTAGTATATCAGGGAGTCAGAGGGGGGTTGCTTCCCAGCAAGACTACCACAGTTTCCAGAGCGTACAATAAGCGTACTTGCCAAACATGTTGAGTGGACCCAAGCTTTGTTCCTAGGTCAGGGGGAATACAACAGCGGCCTTACCAACGTTTTGAACCAACGGAAAGCAGTGCTTAAAGATCAAAAGCTCAAAACAAATCCTGGGGCCCTACTGGGTCGGACTCCTCCATAAGACCTGTAGGAAGCCGAAGAGCACCCTTGGACCTTAATTCCCACAGTCAAGATAAATATATCTCTGGACCTTTTCAAGTAAAGTCCTTTATTTGCTTATTACAATTGGATTTGTATGCCTTCAGTTAGAAAATCAGTATTTGAGGGACCAGCAGATGGCATAATGGTTACATCGCTGATTCCCACATAGTCAACTACAGTTTGAGTCCTAGATCTGGCGACTTGAAACTCACACCAGGCACATATGCATGTGTACCCAAAATCCTGAGAACAGAATGGAGAAGGGATTACAGCATGTCCGTCACCCCAGGAGAGTGATTTCTTGCTTTCTGTCTCTCTGTTTCTCTGTCTTTCTGGCAAGCACATGTGCCCTATAGCAAAAATCTTTCAAAAAAAAAGAAAAAGAAATTCAGTATTTAAATCCCTATTACTGGTGATTGGCAAATCTAAATTTAAACACACTTCACATAATCACACATGAAGACAAGCTATACCTAAACTTAAGAATGTTTACTTCATATACTTATCTAGAAGCGAAAGGGTTCTTCAACTGTTTTAGAAGCACAATGTATATTTTAGTATCCAAAATCATCAACCAAACAGAAAATGCATTTCAAGCAGATGGAGACACCCCAGCCCCACCCACCACCTGATGCTTCTTCATTGGAAAGACCTGAAAAATGGTAGGCGTTCCAAACTGCCACCTCCAGTTGAAAGGGTCCCAAAGTGGAGCACACAAATGCAAAATGAAACGTCTTTGTAAGCTATTATCTGTTCTGGGTTCTCAACCAAGAAAAAGAGAAAACTAGCATTCAGCCTCCAGGCCTCCTCCTCCATCTGTCTGTCCTTTTATCAGTTGATGGGACAAGTCACCATGACATCTAAATTCTCAGCAGGATGGAGTAGATGAATAGGCAGACAGGCCCGGAAGACCTGCCTGTCCTCAGCTTCCTTTCTGATCTGAGGAGGAAGAAGGCTCTGTCTGCAGCAAAGGGAGAATAATATCCAAGTAGGTGAGGGATGAGCGGTCAGCTCATTCAGGTCACCACAGAAATCTGAGCCTGGCTGTCAGACACACAGGGACCCCACAGCCTTTGCACAGCCTTCTGACATCACAACTTCAAACGTACAACTTTTCTTTTCGTTATACATTTTATCGTGAGATAATAGCAGATTTGCATGCACCTGTAAGAAATAATACAGAAAGCTTCCTGCACTATTTACCTAGTTTTTCCTAGAGGTAAATTCTTGCAAGATGATAGTACAAGTATTGCATCAGGATATTGACTTGTGCTGCGCTTTGAGAATCAGTTAAACCCTTTGAAAAAGTAGCAAATCCATTACGATGGCGGAGGTTGGACAGTTTGTAGGACATTTCATATATTTAAGGTCTGGCTGCTTTGAGTGGCTGAGGTTCTGTGCTAGGCGGGCACTGGTAGGTCAGTGAATGACGAGTTCTTTGAACCGATCCAAATTCTCTTACTGAAAGCACTTACCAGTGAGGAAGAACTTCTTTGCATTTTGTTTCAGTCTTGGGTTTCCTAAAATTAAGATGATAGAGTGTCCAGAGGGATAAGTGCCAATAAACAAGATGCTTAACTGAAAGACGAGGCTTCTGAAGTCGAAAACTTTAAAAGCGAGCAAAGCGGCCACCATGTAGTGGGAGAAGTAGAGGATGAGAAAGGCCAGGATGGAGCACAGAGCGCTGGCGGGGACACTCCTGCGGAGGCTCCCGGGGCCCCTGGCGGTGGTTCGCATCTGCTGGGTGTGTCTCCCCAGGGAATACACCAAGAGCAGCACCGCAGTGAGGAAGATGAGAAATGGCAAGGAGAACTCAAGGAAGAAAAAGTAGTAAAAGAAGTAAGGTATTTCTTTGCATTGAGTTGTATTTTTGGAGAAAAAGGCCATGATGTATTTCTGGGAAAGAGGCCATGTGTATTTTCTGTGGAAAACAGAAGCGAGAGCTACAAAGAGCAGGGACCCAAGGATCAGCCATGGCACCAGCTTGGATATCCTCATCTTCAGCCAGAAGAAGAGCGGGTGAGGGAACGTGGCAATCTTGGCGCAGTAGAAAACGCCTAGCCACGTGGCCAGCCACAGTCCTGATTCGTTTACAAACGCGATAGCTACAAAGTTCGCAGGATATATAGGAAATTCCATGAAGGAAGAAACAAGCAGATGAAGGTAGAAGATGACCAACTGCAGGCAAATCCTAGACACTGCCAGGCAGAAGAGAAGGAGATCCACTGTAGCCATTTTTCTCTGTTTGAGCAAGTCAGAGCCATTCACCACCACGATGATGCCATTTGCGAAAGCCCCCACAGTGAGTTGGACCAGCGAAAACAAAAAGTTGATGGTAAAATGAAATGTCAGCATCTTAAGAAAAGAGGTCAGATAATTTTAAAAATGATATGGTTATAGATTTCTGGGCAGTCTGGATTACTCACACTATTTGCTCTTCTTCCTCTGGATAAGGAGCCCACTGGGGAACATGAGTACACAACGGGGCAGTGGGTCGGAAAGCGGAATACCTTTGTTTACAGCACTGTTTCCTCAATTTAGCTCCAAGCCAGTCAAATAAGGAAGAGATACTCTAGCACCAATTTGCTTCTTAGTAGCAAGTTTTGCATTTTACAGTTTTTTTAAAAAGCTTTCAAAGTCACCACAAGCAAATAGTGGAATTGGACACTTTCAGATGGCTGCAGAAGGGCTCTATCACTCCATACCCAGCAGAAGCTACCCAGTCCTTCACTTCTGCCATAAATAATTGTGTCTACAGGTGTGATTGTGCTTAACACTACTGAAGTGTTCTTTAAAACGACCACTTCTGCTATAACGTAGTACAACCAACAATGTAAGACTCCCAGTAGTAGTTTTCCAATATGCAATGATTAAACAATGCGAACCTCTTAACATTTAAAATAGTTATACAACAAACTACACAGGATGAAACACAAAGCACTAAAATACATAAAAGCGAAGTAATTAGGTTTACACAGATGTGCAGACACAGTCCAAAGCCTAAAGGAAAGGAATAAGCGACGTGATGAAGATGCTCTCAGCACCACACGTACCAGTAATCCTCTCTGAGGCAAGCCAGGGCTGATGCCTTTTCCCTGTTACTTATTTATGCTTCTAAGAATTTGGGACTGGTTCCATAGCACAGTGGTTAATCCCTGTGTGTAAGGAGCTGGATCCCACATGGCCAACCATAATTCGAATCCTGGCCCAGTCAGCTTGAAAAACACACTGGATGTGTGTGTGGTCCTCCTCCCCCAAGTCCCCTCAGGATGGAGAAATGGCGGGGGGTGAATGGTGATGTGATCACAGGGCACTAGGAGGTTTTTCTCCCTCTTTCTCTTCTTTCTTTCTCTCTCTGCCACTCTCTAGTGAGTGCATGCACCCTCTGGCAATGAGAAAAATCTGTGAAAACAACTATGAGAGTTTCGTGACATGAGCTGTTCTCAGGGAAAAATAAAAGTACCATAGTACATGATACAGTTTGTTTCTGTGTCCGACCATTTCTGAGAAAATTAGATTAGCATTTAGTTACATACATACTGTGCAATGTATTATGCCAAACCAGATTTTTGCAACCTCAACACTGTTGACATTTTGGACTGGTCAGTTCTTCATTCTTGAGGAGGAAGTTGGAGTTGCCATGTGAAATGTAGGATATCCACCATGATTCTCCTTTTACCCACAAGATACTATTAGCGTACATGCCTTCCCCAAGGCTGAGTGACACACAAGTGTAATGTGATGTGAAACTATGTTAGTTCTGGGTTGGTTCCATGGCCTAGTGGAAAGGGAACCAGAGCCCACGTAACCAACTGTGGTTTAAATCCCAGTTCCACAGCCCCCCAAACACATCAGGCATGTGTGCATGAAAGACCCTAATTCTAACAGGATGGAGAAATGGAAAAGAAGCGTTCTGTGCTCCACTGGGGAGGGTGCTTTCTCCCTCTCCTTCTCTCTCTCTGACTCTCTGTCTCTCTCTGGTGAATACATGCACTCCCTAATAATAGAAAACAAAAACCCTATGTTAGTTCTTTAGACAATTGACCACCAGAGCAGAAAGTGGGAGATAATTTATAAACATCGGGGAAGCTGAAGCACCTCCAACTTTGCACTTAACCACCACGTGGGAGTCTTACACTGCTGTTCGTACTGCGTTATGAAAACATGGTGCTATGTCTAAACAGAGCCACTTTCAAGCACAAAGATAAGGTGAACCTTGCTGTCTCTCTCCGGTGGAAGGAAGTACTAACGTACTCCGATTTTACCTTCTGCTGGCTGGAAAAGCAGAATGGATGGGCTTCCACCTATGAAATAATGAAGCTAAGGGCTCTCAAAAGAGCAGTTTCCACTACTTCCTTGGTTTTTCGGTCAAACTTCTGTCACTTCCACTGCTCATGTAAGTAGCCTACCTGGGCCCTATGAGAACAACCCCATGAGGGCAGAGCTGGGCTTTCTGCTCATTCTCAGCATTCTCTGTTCTTTCACTCATTTGGTATTGGGCACATGGTGTTGTTACGTCACTCACATACCAGAGGAAAAGAGAACCAAGTATGCCCAAGTCACTTTGAAAGAGAGAGGTTTTCTAACGCTGTGTTCCTGGACACTCCAGGTTCTAGCCCCAGTACAGAGCTCATCCCTGGTCCTACTTTGCACTTGGGTTGCTGTGACATTTACGTACTGAGCCTCTGTGAGCCTCCAGCATAGTCTGGGCATGTCGTATTGCAGATGTAACGGGAGCACCAAGGGAGAAAGCAAAGAAAGAGGAAATTCCCAACCTGAATCTAACATAACAATACAGTGTCTCAGCGCTGACAGGAAGCCAGCAGAGAGCATGCACAGTACACCAAAGACCCGAAAGAAATACCTCTGTCCAGCTCTGATGATTAACACTCTGTTTCTTGGATTCTAGCACCTGGAAGGGGCATTTGGGTCTCAGATATTCTATTACAACTTTCGTCAGAACTGGCTTGGGGAGCAGAGGCAATTCTTCAGGAGACCTTTATTTCCATAGAACAGGTCTTCTGACGTGGGAATCCCATGGAGTAAAAAGTACAAATTCCAAGGCAGAGGGCTCTGCAGTTTGGAATCAGCTAATAAGAACTTGGGTAGTTTTGAGAAATAGCTAGGGATAAGTCTTTTCATGGAATCACATTCACCTGGTTAACATTTGAGAATAACTTCTAAACCATTGAAAGTCTGCTTGGAAGTTTGCGTAACCACATAGCAAATGTATATTATCTTTCATATTGAATTATTTTTAGTCAGGTTCTCACTGTAACTGCCCATGCTGGCCTTGAACTTGCAATCCTCCTGCCTCAGCCCCACAGCTAGCTGGGATTATAGGCATGTGCCATGGTACGTAGCTTTATATTGAATTTTAAGTTACTTTTATGTGTATAGTATTCAGTATCTTAACAAATAGTTACAATAATAATGAGGTATCGAACAGGTTGAATGTCCCTAATCCAAAAATTCAAAATGATTCAAAATCTGAAACATTTTGAGTGCTGACATATGCCACAGTAGAAAATTCTGCATCTGATTTAATATGATGAATTAGAGTCAAAACACTGTAATTCAAAAAAGTTCTATAAAATTAACTTTAGGCTATGTATATAAGGTATTCATGAGCATAAACAAATTTCATGTTTAGATTTGGGTCCCACCCTCAAAGTATCTCACTATGTGTATACAAATATTCCCAAATACAAAAATGTCCAAAATCTGGAATATTCTGGTCTAAGCATTTTAGATAAGGGATACTCACCCTATAGTTGACTTTATAAGCTAATTGTTTAAAAATCACTTTTTAAATTAGATTTCTTTTTCTGATTGTTAAAGAATTCAGGTTTAGGGACCAGCAGTTAGCGTAATGGCTATGTCGCTGGACTCCCACGTAGTCGACCATGGTTCAAGTCCCGGACCCCATGGCTTAAACTCACACCGGGCACATGTGCGCGTGTGCCCAAGATCCCGAGAGGAGAATGGAGGATAAGGGATTGCAGCATGGCCATCCCCCCTGGGGGGTGATTTCTCGCTTTCTATCTCTCTGTCTCTCTCTGTCTGTCTGGTGAGTGCACGTGCCCTATAGCAAAAACCTCTCCAATAAATAAATAAATAAATAAATAAAAGAATTCAGGTTTATTGTAAAGAAAAAAACTGGGAAACTCCATAAATACAGATTTTTTTTCTTATATATTATTTGTATCTTTCTTAAATTGTGTTTGTGTGTTTACATGTTGACTTTATACAAAGGAGAAAATCAGTCTATACAACCTGACTTTTTAAATTTAATATATCATGGTCATTTGTTTTTGTGTTACAAAAATAATCATGCAAAATTTTTTTTTATTTTACTGGTTGTATAATATTTTAATAGTTACATCATCTGGAATATAATAATTTATATAATAAATATTTTTTAAATATTAAAAAAGTAGAAATCAATGAGGCGTAAGCTACATAGTTCTTCACTACATAATTTCCATCGCCCATCTGTTCAGAGAGCACACAAAGGCTGTTGAAGGCACCCCATTCTGAGCAAGAGCTACCAACTCCCCAAGACTTACATTCCTCGATCTTTCTTTCTTTGGTCTTTCTTTCTTTCTTTTGTTGGTTTTATGTTCTTGCATAAGGCACACATTCTTGTTGGAGAGAGGCAGAGAGAGGGAAAGTGAGTACTCTCTAAGAGAGATGGCCACACCGCAATCCCTTCTCCTTCCTTCTCCTCTGAGGATTTTGGACACACATACACACACGCCTGGCATGATTCAAGCTGCCAGGTCGAGGACACGAACTGTGGTCAGCCATTTGGGAGTCTAGCACCATGCCGCTAGCTGGTCCCAAGACTTGGAATCCTTACGCAGAATGGTAGCAGGGTAAGAGCCCCTCTCTAGAGGAGAGCAGCTTTTGTGTGACACTACACCAATGCCCTGTGCAGCCCTAGAAGACCTCCTGTCGATTCTCTGGTGAAGATTTCCAAGGACGTGTCCTCATCCTTAGGATTCAGCCACGTCAATCAAAGCCGCCGTAGACATTGGTGATGCCCTTATGCTAAGCTCGAGTGAGCTAAGGATTTTAATGATGAACACAACAACTCAAATAAAGAAAAATGGTCCTAAGTATAGAACTCCTTTAAGTCTTTTAAGCAGCTTGTTTTAACAAGGACACATCAGAGAATTTCTGGCTCTGAGATAAAAAATGTACATGTCTGGCCTCACCTGTCAGTCAGCAGCTCGGAACGTTGACAGTTTTACATGGACAAATGGCTTGGAACAGATGGAACAAGACCCGATGTGGAGAAATTCACATGATTATTACCCCGTATTACCCTGATTAAATCCGTTCACTCGCAT